ATTAGATTTTGCCATGGTTTAATTGCACATAACATGTAAACATTCACAGTGCAGGGAGGAAAAAGTATGTGAACCTTTGGACTTAATAACTGGTTGACCCTCCTTTGGCAGCAATAACCTCAACCAAACGTTTCCTGTAGTTGCAGATCAGACCTGCACAACGATCTGGAGTAATTTTGGACCACTGCTCTTCACAAAACTGTTTCAGTGTAGCAATATTCTTGGGATGTCTGGTGTGAATCGCTCTCTTAAGGTCATGCCACAGCATTTCAATCAGGTTGAGGTCAGGACTCTGACTGGGGCCACTCCAGAAGGCGTATTCTGTGCTGTTGCAGCCATTGTTTTGTTGAGGATTACTTGTATGCTTTGGGTCATTGTCCTGTTGCATCATCCATCCTCTGCGGAGCTTCAGTTGGCGGACAGATGGTCGTACGTTTTCCTGCAAAATGTCTTGATAAACTCTGGAATTCATTTTCCCATCAATGACAACAATCCGTCCAGGCCCTGAGGCAGCAAAGCAGCCCCAAACCATGATGCTCCCTCCGCCATGTTTCACAGTGGGGATGAGGTTTTGATGTTGGTGTGCTGTGCCTTTTTTTCTCCACACATAGTGTTGTGTGTTCTTCCCAAACAACTCAATCTTGGTTTCATCTGTCCACAGTATATTTTGCCAGTAGTGCTGTGGAACATCCAGGTGCTCTTTTGCAAACTTCAAACGTGCTGCAATATTCTTTTTGGACAGCAATGGCTTCCTCCGTGGTGTCCTCCCATGTACTCCATTCTTGTTTAATGTTTTCCTTATTGTAGATGTGTCAACAAAAATGTTAGCATGTGCCAGAGATTTCTGTAGGTCTTTAGCTGACACTCTGGGATTCTTCTTTACCTCATGCAGCATTCTGCGCTGTGCTCTTGCAGTCATTTTTACAGGACAACCACGCCGAGGGAGAGTAGCAACAGTGCTAAACTTTCTCCATTTGTAGACAGTCTGTCTTACCGTGGACACATGAACATCAAGGCTTTTGGAGATACTTTTGTAACCCTTTCCAGCTTCATGCAAGTCAACAATTCTTGATCGTAGGTCTTTGAGAGCTCTTTTCTGCGAGGCATGGTTCACATCAGACAGTGCTTCTTGAAACCAGTAAACCCAAAACAGGTGTGTGTTTTTTAAGGGCAGGACAGCTGTCAGCAACACATCCAATATCATCACACTGATTGGAGTCAAGGTTGGCTCACTCCTGGCTCCAATTAGCTCTGGGAGAAGTCATTAAGCTAGGGCCTCACATACTTTTCCTCCCTGCACTGTGAATGTTTACATGTTATGTGCAAATAAACCATGGCAACATCTAATGTTTGTGTAGTATTATGTTCAGCAGACTGTGTTCTTCTATTGTTGTGACTTAGATGACGTTCAGAGCACATTTTATGCCCAATTCATGCAAAACTCAACGTAATCCCAAGGGGTTCACATACTTTTTCTTGCAACTGTATATCACACCGAGTGTGGCACATAGATTGAGTGGAGATAATTCACCTTTATGTTGGCGTGGATGTGGAGGTAGAGGCACAATGCATCACATATGGTGGGAGCAGGGGCGGACTGACCATTTGGGAACTCGGGCACTGCCTGAGGGCCCGGGGTCAGTAGGGGGCCCCTCGAGATGCCCCTGGTACCTTTTGATAGGCTTTTTTGGGTGTGGTTTGAGTGTGGGTGAGGACACTGGGGTCCCATGATCCCGTTGCCTGGGGGCCCCATAAGTTGTCAGTCCACCCTGGGTGGGAGTGTTCTAAAATACAAGAGTATTGGGGGAAAATAGTAAGCTTGATTCAGAAAATTACAGAGGTGGATATTCTAGTAGACCCAGAGATTTGCCTTTTTCATAGTACTAAGCTTTCAGTTAAAAAATACAAAGAATCTGGTGTATTGTACTATATGAATGCAGCAAAGGGACTGATACCCAAGTATTGGAGGAGACAGGAGGTGCCGAAAATAAAGGACTGGGTGGATAGGGTGGATTAAATATGTAAATTGGAGGAACTTTATCATTTGAATGAAGATAAGATGGAGATTCACCATACAAGATGGAACAAAAAGGAGGAATTCACAAAGTCAAGACTAGCATTAGAGGTTATGGGGGATTAACACAGAATAATATGGAAACATATTTTGTTCTTCCTGTATAGGGATTACGAATCCGATCTCCAGAAATGAACAGGAAAATCCAGAGCAGAAGGGGTCAGGGATTGGATGGGGGGGGGGGGGGGGGGAAAGGATGAAATGATAAATGTTTTGATTAAATGCTAAAGTTTATCTGAAAAATTAATAAATATTTAAGTTAAACAAATTGTGGCAAACCAGCGTTTTTGGATTTTTTTTTAACTAAAAAAATATTATTTTGGTCAAAAAACCTCTAAAAAAACGCAAAAAAAAAAACGCCGCTAAACGCTAATACAAAAACGCTGAAAAACTCATGTTTTTAACGCGCCTTTACACAGCTAACGTTACCAGCGTTATTAAAACGCCCCGTGTGCATGGAGCCTTCATATTGTGAGGTCTGCCTGTCTGCTGGCCGCCTCTTTCCACAACTTCCCGGATTCCCTGCATGCTTTGCAGCTCTTCCTCCATATAAAAGGACAATAATTAAAGATGGGAGAGCCCTGGAAGATCGCGCATATCATGCAGTTGGCAAGACTCGGCCTCGGGAGAACGCAATGCAATTATGAGAACAATTACGGAAAAAGTGAGGCAGAGCTGGTTGCCCGTAGATGGGAAGAGTGACAACACTCAGCAGATTTATAAGTATCGTGTGGAACTCTCAAGTGTTGATGATTCCGGTCGGCTTGTTAAACTCGCTCCACTTGTCCTTGAAATGTATCTAAACCCAAGAACAGAAATGTCATATATTTCAGCTCACTAATAGTTAGATGTGCTGCTGAATTAGTCATCTTTATTCGTGAGATGTTTTCATTTCATGATCTTACCAGGAAAACACTCCCTGTCCTAAGGTGACAACGCTCACACACTGTACTCTAATAGGTTGCAGCTTAACAGTCCTTCCATGTGGTGGCTGCATTTGTTTTTTTCCAGATTTTCCCTTTATTGTAACCTGATCAACGACTAGCCTGCTGAACGACATATCAGATTGGAGGTCGCTCCACTTCCTTAAATTGAACCTCTCCAAAACCGAGCTCCTAGTCTTCCCCCCAGCCCGCACACCACCCCCCAGTGACTTCTCCATCAGGTCCAACAATGCCACCATCAGGCCCACCCCGCAGGCCAGAGTACTTGGTGTCATTCTTGTCTCCAATCTATCCTTCCAGCCCCAAGTCCAATCGCTAACAAGCTCATGCAGACTCCACCTCTGCAACATCGCCAAAATCCGCACGTTCCTAACCCCAGAAACCACTAAACAGCTCATCCACTCCCTCATCATATCACGACTCGACTACTGCAACTCCCTCCTCACTGGCCTGCCTCGCCGCTGGCTATCCCCGCGTCAGTCCATCCCGAATACGGCAGCCAGACTCATCCACCTTTCCAACCGCTCCATCTCCGCCACCCCCCTCTGCCAATCCCTCCACTGGCTTCCGATTGCCCAACGGATCAAATTCAAAATCCTAACACTGATGTACAAAGCTGTCCACCATACTGCCCCGAACTACATCACTGACCTAATATCCAAGTACCGCCCAGCACGCACACTCCGCTCCTCACAAGACCTCCTTCTCTCTAATTCCCTGGTCTCCTCCTCCCATGCCCGCCTCCAGGACTTCTCCAGGGTGTCACCCATCCTCCGGAACTCCCTGCCCCAACCCATCAGATTATCACCTACTCTCCTCTCCTTTAGGCGCACCCTGAAAACCCATCTCTTCAGGGAAGCCTACCCCACCCCCTGCTAACCTGTCGACCTCCTCCACTCTTCCTACCACTCCATCCCCCACAGCTATCTCCTCCTGTACCACCATCCCCTCCCTCCTAGATTGTAAGCTCCAAGGAGCAGGGCCCTCGATCCCCTCGTGTGTCACATTGTATTGTTACTGTACTGTCGCATGTATTGTCTCCCATTGTAATGTACAGCGCTGAGCGAACCATTTGCGCTTTATAAATACTGTATAATAATAATAATAACCTGAGGATTCTGCCAGTAATACACTTCCTGTCCTAGGGTGACAACACTCACTCACTATATTGTGTCTATGAAGGAGCAATCTGTCACCCCTAGGGCAAGACGTGTGCAGTACACCTCTCCTTGTACACCATAATATGACGGAAATCGTTCTGTAGTCCACAGAGATAGCTGGGAACAATGCCACTGATAAAAGTGCAACATAGGCAGAGCACAGGATATTTCTGGCAGGATCAACAGTTTTTTTTTTATCTGTCCTCCAGGACCAAGAACTGAGCGATCAAAGAATGGCGATCACTCAGTTCTTGGTTTTCAGTGAAGGGAACTGAGCAGAATGCTGGTGACTGTCAGTCTTCAGCTGTCTGCTCTGCCCTTGCAGCACTGGAGCGCCGGGCTGTAGAGGGGGTGGGAGCGGCTGGCTCAGGCTTTCAGTGGCATGTTGAGAGGCTGAGCCAGCAGCTGGTCCAGGCATCTGGGTGCGTTCCTACATTAAAGTTGATATCTCTCCAGAGTCTGGACCAGCTGAGTGACGTCATCAAAAGACAGGTCACAGGAGTGGAGAACTACCGTATTTTTTGCTCCATAAGACGCACTTTTCCCCACCCAAAGAAATGGGGGAAATGTCTGTGCATCTTATGGAGCGAATATGGAGTGGCCGGCCTGGTTTTCCTGCCGCTGTGTTAGAATACCGGGCAGGCCACTCAGCTTTTCTGTGCAGCAGAACCAGCTCCTCGGTTTCTACCTGTTCCTCTGTCCAGCGGTGTCCTCACTATCTTCTCTCCCGGCGCTGGCATCTTTAGTGTGGGCACCCGGCTGTGACAGTTTGTGGCTTCACAGCGAGGTGCCCACTGCGCATGTGCGAGAAGCGCTGCGCTTTGTGAATGGCCCCGTAGTCTTCTGAGACCTGTCATGTGCCCCAGAAGACAGGGAGGGAGGACAACTCCACGGAAGTGGGAGCAGGTACCTGTCAAATTTGCGTACCTGCTCCCCAAAGGTCAGCACTGTCTGGTCATCTCCTTTACTATGTCCACAGTCTCTGGTCATCTCCTGTACTATGTCCGCAGTCTCTGGTCATCTCCTGTACTATGTCCGCAGTCTCTGGTCATCTAATGTATTGTGTCCGCAGTCTCTGATCATCCCCTGTACTATGTCCGCAGTCTCTGGTCATCCCCTGTACTATGTCCGCAGTCTGTGGTCATCTCTTGTACTATGTCCGCAGTCCCTGGTCATCTCCTGTACTATGTCTGCAGTGTCTGGTCATCTCCTGTACTGTGTCCGCAGTCTCTGGTCATCTCCTGTACTATGTCCGCAGTCTCTGGTCATCTAATGTACTGTGTCCGCAGTCTCTGGTCATCTCCTGTACTATGTCCGCAGTCTCTGGTCATCTAATGTACTGTGTCCGCAGTCTCTGGTCGTCTCCTGTACTATGTCCGCAGTCTCTGGTCATCTCCTGTACTGTGTCCGCAGTCTCTGGTCATCTCCTGTACTGTGTCCGCAGTCTCTGGTCATCTCCTGTACTATGTCCGCAGTCTGTGGTCATCTCTTGTACTATGTCCGCAGTCTCTGGTCATCTCCTGTACTATGTCCGCAGTCTCTGGTCATCTAATGTACTGTGTCCGCAGTCTCTGGTCATCTCCTGTACTATGTCCGCAGTCTCTGGTCATCTCCTGTACTGTGTCCGCAGTCTCTGGTCATCTCCTGTACTATGTCCGCAGTCTCTGGTCATCTCCTGTACTATGTCCGCAGTCTCTGGTCATCTCCTTTACTATGTGCGCAGTCTCTGGTCATCTCCTTTACTATGTCCACAGTCTCTGGTCATCTACTTTACTATGTCCGCAGTCTCTGGTCATCTCCTGTACTATGTCTGCAGTGTCTGGTCATCTCCTGTACTGTGCCTGCAGTCTCTGGTCATCTCCTGTAGTATGTCTGCAGTCTCTGGTCATCTCCTGTACCGTGTCTGCAGTCTCTGGTCATCTGCTGTACTATGTCCGCAGTCTCTGGTCATCTCCTGTACTATGTCCACAGTCTCTGGTCATCTCCTGTACTGTGTCCGCAGTCTCTGGTCATCTCCTGTACTATGTCCGCAGTCTCTGGTCATCTCCTGTACTATGTCCGCAGTCTCTGGTCATCTAATGTACTGTGTCCGCAGTCTCTGGTCATCTCCTGTACTGTCCGCAGTCTCTGGTCATCTCCTGTACTGTGTCCGCAGTCTCTGGTCATCTCCTGTACTATGTCCGCAGTCTCTGGTCATCTCCTGTACTGTGTCCGCAGTCTCTGGTCATCTCCTGTACTGTGTCTGCAGTCTCTGGTCATCTCCTGTACTATGTCCGCAGTCTCTGGTCATCCCCTGTACTGTTTCCGCAGTCTCTGGTCCTCTCCTGTACTGTGTCCGCAGTCTCTGGTCCTCTCCTGTACTATGTCTGCAGTCCATTGGATCAGAATATTTTTTTTCCTTTTTGCTCCTCTAAAACCTAGGTGCGTCTTATGGTCAGGTGAGTCTTATGGAGTGAAAAATTCGGTAGTGCACTTCTGTGACCCGTAGGAGAAGTATGGCTAAAAGAACGTTGGACCTGCTTCTCATTCCATGATACATTTAACAGACCAAATGAGACTAAATAAGAGAGTTCATTGTTAGGGTTCACATACACTTTCATGCAAGAAAAGGAATGATGCCAAACGGCACCAAATTATGGCTCTAGGACTCATACAATGATAGCTCTGGGTATTCTGTGGTTTGCCAGAGAGAGAGAGAGAGAGATGAACTGCAAGCCCCAGTGTGCTGGCAGAGAAGACAATCCAAGAAGAGTCATCCATGACACCAAATAAGTGGCCCCTGTTAGAAAAGAACATTGTTGGAAGGAAACCGCAGCAATATGCATGAGGATCCGGCAGCATTCGCTACCTGCAGGACAGTCATGGCCGTTATTGTAGCTTCAGAGAAAACAGCGCAGAGACATGAAGATCTATACATGGCGGTGACACCATGAAACTCCCATATACAGTAGGTGCTCTGTACACACACCTTGCTGCCCTGGCACAGGCTTTCCCACTCGGTCCTGAGACCGGCCTGCCAATGTGTATCATCACACGTTCTCATTATGCAATGAATGGTATTACATACACACGTGTCACTGTTTGGAATGGTGAACACGCTTTCAGCGTAAAAAAAAAATAATAAAAGAGAGAGAGAAAAGTCAGCAGCAGCTGACGGGGGCCGGGACATATGGGGTAACAGCCGACGTGAGAAATGAGAAGTAAAGGAGCGGCTGGCAGCAGATTAACTCCGCGCTGTATCGGCTGAGAATCTGCCAACTGTCACTGCCAACACCTCCGCATTCACACCGAGACCCTCGCCGCTTCCTCTGCTCTCCCCCCGCCAGGAGAGGGGCTCACTGCGCTCACTACCTGGGCGCCGTGCCGGCCTCATTTCACAAGATAGCCTTGATTCTGGGTCTGCGTCTCAGTGCTGCTGATCTCCTGCAACCTTTTGCTGCCCTTTCCTGTCTATAAGGCTACATGACGGGGCAAGCTTTTCTGATGGTGACAACAGTGGAAATAGAAACAAACTCTCCTGCACTCAGAGACCCAAACCAGGAAAGATGGAACCAGAACTTGAAAAAATTTGACCACCTGTGCAAATGGGGTTGTGCAGCTCCAAACAAGGCTGGGGAAGCCCGACCAATACTGATGAAGAAGGGACACCCTTCGAAACGCGTCAACTGTTCCCTTAGTGTCCACCCCTATGATGGGACTCGCACAGGTTTTACCATTCCATAGTTCCTCTGAGAACTTACATGCTTGAAATACTTCATTGTTTGTGAGTATATTTTTGTATTCAATAAAATTTGGTTTACCGAGGTAATGCGCAAGGTTGGTGACAACAGTGGACCATGGTTCTGTAACGAAGGTTAAAATGGCCACTTCCATAGGAAGCCCCTGTGAGAAGGTGACAATGCAGGAGAACAAGTGGGTAACAGGGGCAGAGTGTTGTCACCCTATAATAGGAAGAGCCTGAATACACTCCTGCATGGCAGAATCATCAGGGATTATTTTAATGAAAGCTGTAGATTTAAAAAGATTGTAAAATTATGGTAGTTCCATTTTTCTATGTCACACAATATTACAACGTTTTTGCAAATGCAAAATGTCAGTAAAAAATCATGCTACAGTTAATTTTAGGGCATACATTTCCAATATCTTCCACCGAGTAAAAGAGATACTCAACATGCCAAGCTTTAAAAAAACAACAAATTTCATTACCCTATATTTTCTATAGGCGATTTTTTAACCACTTGGTGCCGAGCGCATGGATATATGCGGCCTCTCGGCAGCTGGGCCTTGCGTTGAGGGGCCACATATTTTCGTGCTCAATGTAAACAAAGGATGCCAAAGAGAGCATGCCCTGCACGCTCCCGGGACATTCACCGGCACCTCACGGAAAGGTCCCGATCGTTACTTGCATTCGGGAGCTTTCCAATCATGTGATTGGCTGTCACATGACCCTGAACCCCTCTTGTCTCCCGGTGTCATAAACCCCTTAAAGGGCCAGAAGGTGCCGGTGCCTAAGCCCCCCCAAGGTCATCAGTTTAGAGTTAACTGTCAAAAAATGGGCCTATTTATTTCAGGTACTTATATAGCGCCGTCAATTTACGCAGCACTTTACATATATATTGTACATTCCATCAGTCCCTAACCCTCAAGGGGTGTACAATCTAAGGTCCCTAACCCTCAAGGGGCGTACAATCTAAGGTCCCTAATACATACATACACATAGGGACAATTTAGACAGGAGCCAACTAATCTACCAGCATGCCTTTGGAGTGTGGGAGGAACAGGCAGGTGGTGCCGTGGTTGGGATTCGAACCAATGGCCCTAGTACTGCCAGGCAGAAATACTAACCATTTAGCCACTGTGCTGCCCTATACTGCTTTTACTATGCGCATGATATGTAACATGTATTGCAAGTGATGTTCTCGTACCTAGGTGCCCCCCTCAGTGAATGCGTTTACATTCATACGTGTGTGTAAGGGTGGGGCTGGTTAAAAAAATTTTTTTGGGGGGGGGGGGTTTAAGTGTTTGGGTATAATTCTGATTTTTTACTTTTTTTGTTAAAAACCCCCACTGCGTGATAAAAGGTTTTTAAGCCAGGTTCTCTTTAATGAGATGTCCAATCGCTGGCAAACTCATGCAGGCTCCACCTCCGCAACATCTCCAAAATTCGTTCGTTCCTCACCCACAGACACTACTAAACAACTCATTCACTCCCTCATTATCTCACGCCTGGACTACTGCAACTCCCTCCTCACCGGCCTACCCCAACACAGGCTATCCCCGCTTCAGTATATCCTGAACTCAGCGGCCAGACTCATCCACCTTACCAACCGCTCCGTATCCGCCACCCCCCTCTCCAATCCCTCCACTGGCTCCACCCCCTCTGCCAATCCCTCCACTGGCTCCACCCCCCTCTGCCATTCCCTCCACTGGCTCCCAATTGCCCAACGCATAAAATTCAAACTACTACCACTGACATACAAAGCCATTCATAACGCTGCCCCAAACTACCTCACTGACCTGATATCCAAATACCACCCTACACGTACCCTTCGCTCCTCACAAGACCTCCTACTCTCCAGTTCCCTGGTCCCCTCCTCCCATGCCTGACTCCAGGACTTCTCCAGGTCTTCCCCCATCCTCTGGAACTCACTGCCCCAATCCATCAGACTGTCATCTACCCTCCCCACCTTTAAGCGCACCCTGAAAAACCCACCTCTTCAGGGAAGCCTACCCCACCCTCACCTAACAGCCGATCTCATCCACTCCTCCTACCACTCCATCCCCCACAGCCACTTCCTCCTGTACAACTATCCCCTCCCTCCTAGATTGTAAGCTCCAAGGAGCAGGCCCTCGAACCCCTCGTGTATTGTATTGTTACTGTATTGTCTCATGTTCTGTCCCCCACTATAATGTACAGCGCTGAGCAAAACTTTTTGGCGCTATATAAATACTGTATAATAATAAATAATAATAATGAGATATTCAAGGGTCTTTTAGCCCCCCGTGATGTCTCACCTGTCTTCCACTGAAGCTAACAGAGTGCAGATCTTGCTTCATTATCTGGCCACAAAGACCAGGGAAAGTGACACCAGAAAGTGGAAGTGACATTTTACACATCACTCTGAGGTTTATTCTAGCTACAGGAGATCAACAAAACACAGGTTTGCTGGTCTCCCTTCTCTTAAATCAGCAACACCCACCATGAGGATCCCAAAACTCAGAAAGCATGGGGGCGGGGGTGTCACAAGCTGGGGGGGGGGACACTCTGGGCTCAGAAAAAGGAATCTTCAGCTAAAAGTTAATTCCCTGCACTGATGCTCTTCCTTGACAACGTCAGTCCCCATCCCCGATCCCCGATAATGTACTGACTATGCTGACAGCTCTCCTACAACCTGTCCTTGATTTAGACATACTTCATGTTAAGATCAAT